GAGAGGGTGAGAAGGAGATGGTGGACTGAGAAGAGGAAGAAGAAGCACCCCCTCTCTCTCTCTTGTATACCAAGTACTAACCTGTGAGGATGGCGCTGTGCTGCAGGTACCTCGAAGACGAAGCTGGAGCAACGGCGCTGCAGGTGAGTACCCCTGGCCTCCGCCCAATCTCTCTCTCTCTAGTGTTACTCTAGCTATGGCGCCCAGCGCTGAAGACTACTACTAACGCTGCAAGCGCCCAGCACTGAAGACTAAGGCTAACGCTACTACTACTACTGCAGCGCTCATCCAGAGTGCTGCTGCCGAATCCTGAAGACTACTGACTGCCCGTGAAGTGCATGGGAAGTCCCTATGTACTACCTCGGCCTGCCTCCTGGCTGTCTCCGACTGCCTGCAGTTGCAGGGCGGGCAGTCCAGGAGGCTGCTCTTGCCAATGCCGAACTGGGCCAGGGCCTGACGCTGCAGCTCAATGCTGAGGCTGTCGTGGGAACAGGCCAAAAATAGCCTGTTCCTAAAACCCTGGTTTGGTGCCTGAGTTCCGGGGCAGGTCGGTCTGATGAGGGCCTGAAAATGGCCCTCAGTTTCAGGCTAAAAAGGCTCATGCCGTTTTAATCTGAAACGACACAGGGCCTGTAGGCCCCTGTTTCCAGCTCTAGCTGAACAGACACGGGGCCTGTAGGCCCTAAATTTCAGGCTTTCGGCCTGAAATCCAGGCTTTTAGCCTAAAGGACGCACGGCCTGGAAAATGGCCCTCGTGTGCAGGCGCAGCATGTAACAGTGTGTGTGTGTGTGTGTGTGTGTGTGTGTGTGTGTGTGTGTGTGTGTGTGTGTGTGTGCACGTGTATCTGTGGGGACCACGGCACAGCTTTCGATTGCCACAGTGCTCTTTTCATCGCAGATTGTCCCAGCCCCTTCCCAGTCAGCCCCAGCCCAGACTGCATAGGGCACTACAGTGGACCTGAAAAAGTAAGCATCCCCCCTGGAAAAAAAAAGAAACAGAGACTTGCAATTGAGACTGTACAACTATTGAGTTGCATTCACACACGCACATGTCGGGAGCATGAAGTTGGACGAGGACAAAACTTACAGAGTATACTCATGCTCCCTACAGTTCACACAAATCCTCACCATCACAGTGAACTTACACTCGTTAACACATTCTGACGGTTCACGCCCCGGTTCTCTAAGTCACAACTGATGGTTGTCCCATAGATTCTTTTAATGTTGAAGGGTTGGCATCTATAGACATTGACGGTCGTGTCACATTTGTGCCAAAATACTCGTGATCACTCTCCGATTCTGATTCTCTGGTCAGTTTTGCAGACCAATTCTTTCACAGTTACCAACACAGATACCAATGCCATATACGCGCCATCAGCAAACACACACTCTGATCATTGTATTCCATGATAGGTGCAACATGATCACACACACATTCACAATTATCAAACACGCATTTGGATCGCTGCATCATTCACCATTCTGCTTATTCAATTACTGTTACAGCGAAAGTCGCTCTTGCCACAGCATCTTAGTCCCATTAGAACTTAGGTCATTCTCATCATGCTCATGATTATGATCATCAGACAGATTCTCAGAATCACTGGCTCCTGTCACGTGAGCTTACAACGGTGCTGCGGCACATCTACCTGAATCGCTTACGATCCTTTAGCTCTTTTTCTATAATTACAAAAACAAAGAATTACTGTGCCCCTACTTACCCTTCCATTAGACAACATTGATGCAATGGACTGCGCAATGCTCGGCTTCTCTGCTACCTGTCAATGAGAATTACCAAACAGGAAGTCAGACTCAGATCTCTCTCTCTCTCTCTCTCTCTCTCTCTCTCTCTCTCTCTCTCTCTCTCTCTCTCTCTCTCTCTCTC